AGAGAGAGAGAGAGAGAGAGAGAGAGAGAGAGAGAGAGAGAGAGAGAGAGAGAGAGAGAGAGACACACACACACACACAGACAGAGAGAGAGAGTCCTCTTTATGTATGTCTTACTTACAGTTTTTTGAACTTTTTTCAGTTGCTGTGTGTCTTCCTTGTTTGGCTTTTTTTTTTTTTTTACTTTTGCGTGCCTAACTGAGCTCCTCTAAGCAATGGCGAATAGTTGTTCATCCCTCGTTTGGAGTGCCTGCAGCACTCTTAAGGGGGGCGCTCAGGTCAGGTTGTATGTATCTCCTACAGGTGATGACTGATGTTCACCGGGGTGACTTCCCAGCTCAATGGGTGGTGGGAACCAACAATCTGTGGGGTTCTTCTTGTGGTTTGAGTAGGTGATGGATGGCTTTGGTCCGTGCTGAGGGTGTGGACTGCTTGTCTGCGCTCTCTGTTGCCCTGCTGCTGCCTTCCCGCTTGCACCCCATGCAGTGCTTTTTTGCAGCTGATGTGGTGTTGTGTGCTTCGGCAATGTCAATGATGTTGTCCTTTTGCTTCATGGCGCTGTTGCCTTGCTGCCCATCTGCGTGCCTTGTCTTGCCATGCTTCTTGCTTGTGTTCTGTGTAGTTTGGCAGCTTTGCAGTGTTGCTTTGTGCTTCGCTGTTTGGTTGCCCTGCTGCCCGTCCACCATTCGCCCTGTCGATCCATGCAGTAGCTTCTGGTGTTAAGCAGTTGGCTCGACTTGCAGCGTTGCCTGGCGCTTCGCTGAGTCGTTGGCTGCTGCTGTGCCCCGCTTGTGGCGTTGTTGCTGGCAGTCTGCTTTGAACAAGGGTCAAGTGGTTCATGCCCCGTCGGAGGCATCAATATGGGGATTCTGCAGATTGTCGAGGGTTCAGCCTCCTGATGAGTCAGTCGGTGAAACTCCGACGAAACAATCTCCGTTGTACTTAGTCGGGTTTTGCCTGCTCGGTGGTGTGCTTGTGTGTGTCGTCTGCCCTCCTTCCTCTCCCATGCCCTCTAGTCTCTGTCCCCCTTGCTGCTGCCTGACATCCTATGCCTTGTTGCCTCATACCTTGCCCTCAGTGGCCTTGTGTTGCTCCCTTTTTGTGGGGTTCGCTGCGTCATGCTGTTTGTGCCCACCTGCCTCCAGCCTTTGTCGTATGTTGCGGCCTGTCGTCTTATACCTTGTTGCCGCATGCCCTTTCCTTCGCCGTCGTTTCTTTGTCTCTCCTTTTGTTGCCTTGTGTGCTTGTGTGTTCTTTACCCTCCCACCTCCCCTGTGCCCTTCAGCCTATGTGTTGCCTCCCTGCTTCTCCCTCCTTGTTGTGTGTGCCTGGTTGTTTCTTGTTCGCGGTTACTGCCTTCTCCATCCTGCTGGTCTTTTCCTCCC